AATGGATTGGCGATGATAGCAATTGAGAATGATCTTCTAGAGAAAGTGGAATATGAAGACTTAATTGATGATTATGCCTCAAATAGCGTTAAGAAGAATTTTAAATAAATAGAAGTTAATATAGCTTAAGTTGATATGAGCTTTGAGTTGTATTGAGTTACTATTATCAACATGAATAAAATGTGAATTTAATTTTGCGTAATTGAATTTATCATTATTATATGAAAGCATTTTCATTTTGCAATGTATATATAGGAAAATTGTGCATTGCCTAAATTATAAATTTTTTAAAAAAATGTATAAATTTCACATCATAAAGGACCCCTTTTTTTTATTTGGAACAGGGCCCCAAAATCATTGCTACGACCCTGAGTAGATGATGGTTGAAATTTATCGAAGACGGAGCCTTTTTGTCTTGGTGTAGTGTTTTCACCTATACTCTGATACTCTCCTCGACCTCTTCCACCGCAATATAATGGGATGCTTGTACCGACTTTCTTCGAGTCGAGATCTTCATTACCTGAGGTTCCGTGAAACCCAATCCAACTTTTTTCACCCAAAATTCTCACCTTGTTGCAGCTGCTGTTGAGATTTGTTGAGACCGTAGGAGCCAGCATCGATCGTTCCCATGTGTCGTACCTTGAGCTTTTCATCAATTTATAAGTAACCGGGTCAAATCCTTCTTTCCTAGCGCTAGGCAACTCCGATATATTTTCAAGGCTCGCAGATGGTGGATTCGATATCTTTTGATTGCTTACTCGCTGACCGACAAGGTCATGCTTTCATTTAATAAAGACTGTACTTCACATTTTTTGAATGGGGTTTGACCCTCCTTGCGACGTGACATAGGGCTGTAACGTAACACTTGAACATGCAAGTTAGACTTCACTTCATCACTCATTGATAGAGGTTTTGAAACTTTCTTTTCATTGATTTCCTGAACCTTCTTATTCAAGTCTTCCTTTGAAGGAGGGTCTTCCTTCGTTTGTTGCTTCTTTGGAGCTTGTTTTCCTGTGGAGGCGATCTCTAATAATGTTATCACTTCCACTAGCTCCTCTTCATCGATGTAGAACTTTGCATCGGCGAAATGAGATTAGAAAGGCTTTACGTCTGCGCTTACCCTCCTTTCACCATTCTTGTAATATTTGAAGCATTGATGCAAAGTTCATGCTACTACTCCATTTTCGTGCATCTATGGTCGCCCTAACAACAAGTTGTATGAAGTTTTTGACTCAATGACATGAAATGTTGTTGCAGTCATCTCTCCAATGGTCAGGTTAACTCTTATCATGCCGATGGCTCGTTGCCAGGTTGAAACCTTGAATCATGAGGCGGCTTTGAGACAATTCATTATTGGTAATCCCTAACTTCCTCATAACTTCGGCATGATATTCACTGCAGAACCTCTATCTATGAGTATGTGATTAACCTTTTGTTTGCGGATGTATCCACAAGCATAAGATCTTCAACAGTGAACGCCAAAGATGCACTGTATGCTGCACATCGATAAGGATGGTTCACATAGATGCCCTGTTCGATATTTTCCGTTGATGTGTAATGAGTAGGATTTTCTATGGCTCGTGCCATAGCAAATCACATTTCTTCTTGAAGAGACAAAGCTTGGCGTCATCTCATACAAGATGGGACTGTATCTAATAACGCAAGAATATTCAAATCTCTTTTGGGATCCCTTAAATGAACTTGTAGATGGTTGGCTTTCTTTACTTTCGTCGTGTAACAAGACACCGCACCAACAGAAGCTTCACTGATGTACTTTTGAGGGAAAAACTCATCTAGCGTGATTGGCATCCAGGGCTTTACTTCTTCACGAGGGACACGCAGGGCGCGTCGTTTCCTTGTCCTTTTCATTTCCTCCGCTTTTTTAGGACCTTTCCTTTTTTGCAGGTGCTTCTTAGAAGGTTGTGAATTGGATGTGAGCCATATTATTTTCTCCTCGAGAGTGATGCATTTTTCGAGGAGATGACTCACCAATCGATGGTATCGACAACAGTTTAGATCAGACGTTGTACCCATTTGCTCGGGGCGTTGAGAGGCAGCTCGATGATCTTTTTCTCGAGCAAGTCGTCTAACATACCTGACAAATCTGAAACGGATACTTTTTTGCCTGCAGTTCCTTTATGGTGGGCCCTTCTCTCTTTGTATCCTTCAAGGATAACTCCATTTTTTGTTCGCTCTTTGGCTTGGCAGAGATATTCACTGGAGCAGATGTGGTGGAGACTACCAATGACTCTTTGGTAGATTTTTTGTTGGTCTTTTCGGTCTTCTTAAAATTATTCTTTTCTTTCATGACGGAATCGAAGTGCTTGTACCACGGCTTGAGATGCTTATCTCCATGTCGTGGGCTCGAGTTGCTAGTTATTAAAAGGACCTTGATTTTATGCCTTGTAGAATGTACCACAGATCCCACTTCATCCCTTGGATACACATTTCAACAACAGAGGTTTCTGATATGATGGTCTTTGCACTCTAGACTTAAAACTCTCCATCGAATGATGTAGTCCAAAACTGGTTCATCTTCCTATTGTTGAGTCTTGGTTAATTCGGTCATGCTGACTATGTGTCGTGTATAGTAGGATCTCTTCTTGAACTCCTCCTCCATGTCATCCCAGCTATCGATGGACTCTTGAGAGGGAGATCAGTGTACCAATCAAACGCAATTCCCAAGGGAACGAACGAATTTTTTGACAAGCAAGTCTCGTGCAGTTCTAGTGTTGTTGCATGTCTCAATAAATAAATGAGCGATGTGTTGCTTAGGGTTTCCTTTCCCATCAAATTGCTGGAATATTGGGTGTTCATAACCTTTGGGCATCTTCAATTTGCTAATCCTCTTGCTATATGGATTCTTATACAGCTTCTTGTCGCGAGAGCTTTCTCCAAGTTGGTTCTTGATAGCATTTGCTATCATATCCTGGATCTTGTTGATGGTGAATGTAGACTCGCTTTTAGCACTAAATTCAGAACCGTCTGCGTCAGAGTTTTCTTCTTCTCTCGAATCGCTTGTTTCCTTTGAACGTTTTTCAAGCTTTTTGTTTAAAGAAGAGATCTTTTCATTTTGTTGCTTGTCTCCATCCTTCATTAACTTTTGAAGCAGGCCCTTCAATTCAGCAAGTTGTTCCTCGACGGTCTTGGATTCAATCATCATAACTGCAGCAATGTTTGTTGGTGATGATTGAGATTACTCTATCATATTAGAAATTCGTCGTGGAGTTAAGGGAGACAAGGCACAACTACTTTCTTGATCTTCTTCGTCGAAGGCATCGAAAAGCGGGCTGGTATGGATAACCAACTTCTCAACAGGTGGAGTCCTCTCCGAGTCATGTGTAGGAGAGGAAGGTTCAGGAGGAGGGGATGAGACGAGCACCGGGATCTCATGAGAAGTGCAAAAAAGACTTGGTGGAAGTGACAGAAGAACGTCTACGAAATCTTGTGCTTGCCTTAGTAGAAACAAAGGCAGTTCGAAGTTTCGCGGTAGCTTCCTGAAATCCAGCCCTCTTCATTCCTCTAGTGCGCATGTTGTCGTCCTTAAACAGCGCAGCCAACTACGTAGCCCTTTGTTGAACGAAGGTGAGATCCTTGGCGGCGGATTGAGAGGTGGTGGTGTTTAAAGCCATTGTTGAAGACTTGACGTGGAAAAGGAGATGAGTGGTAGAGATAGTCCCACCGGGCGTGCCAAAAATTTGTAAACATAAATTTTGAGTCTACAAAAATAAAGATTCAAACTAAATGCTACAAATGTAATTTTATTAATATAACAATTTTTTGAGTACAATCTCTAATATAATCCACATTCGATCTCCACGCTATGTCGTTTGATGACTCGATTTGTTATTGTCGAAACTCTAACTTGAACTCCTTGATAGAGGGCCAAAAAGGCTTGATCCCAATCAAGGTTTGTCTTCTAGAATGGAACGACAAGCTTGATCCGGTGCTTGTTGTTCTTCTAGGTTTGAAATGTTTTTAGAGAGGTTTTTTTTTTTAATATAGAGAGGTTTTTTTTGTTGAGAGGCTATTCTGTGTGTCTGAAAATGAAGGAGGAGAATTTATAAAGTTCTCCCAAGGTAGGGTTTTAAGATGACTACTAAATGAGCCTCATATCCATTTCCACCTTATTTCATAAATGACCCATTTAATTAAATCAAATCCATTTTGTTGGACTCTATTATTAATTAAATGAGTCTAACTAAAATAAATCATACGGGCTAATTTAAGCCAGATAAATTATTTAGTCAATATATATGAGTCAACCGTTTGACTTTGACCCAAATAATACATAACGACACTTGATAAAATCTAGATTTTGGAATGTTTCATTCTTATGGAGATGAAGCAAAATTGTTTGTTTACTCTGATAGTGATTGGGTCGATGATCAATATTAAAGGAAAAGTACAACACGATATTCACCTTATCTAGGTTTAACGGTTAATACTTGGATTTCTAAAAAACTGCCAATGGTGGCATTATCAAGTTGTGAAGCAATATATATAAGTATAAACAGCTTCATTTGGAGTACGTGAAGCATTATGGTTATAAATATCATGCAAGAACTTAGGCCTTACCCAATATATGTTGACAAAGTGTCAGCAACAAAACTTGCTAAAAATCTGGTACAATATAGGAGAAGCAAACACGTTGACACAGTTTCATTTTCTTGGAGACCAAGGAATAATCATTTAAATACGTTGAGATATGGGTGACTAAATTCAAAGAAGGAGATCTCAAGTAAAAATAATACAAGTCTTTCACCGATGTGTGTATCAGCCATAATTTTTATCAAGCTATCTACGGACATCAATCCATCACTAAGAAACGAATTAGTTATATGTGTCAAGCTGTCCACAACCTCTAATCAGTAATGCTTCTGCCATTTGCAAATTTGTGTGAAATGAACGTTGGCATGTATTCTTATTGAACAGTAAAACACATACAAAAACCTCAACATACGGTGAATATGGAGAGCTTATAAAATAGTAAAACACACCTGGTCAGCAGTGGAAAACCCCCTTATTGTATCACCACCTATAACTACAATTCCTTTGTCCCCCAGTGGCTGCAAAATGACAGCCTGTTCAGCAGAAACAGTTAGAAGGAAATTATTTGATAGGATTTAAAGTGCCAGCTAATATGCAATCAACCCACAACAACACAATGAGCAAGCAAGCAATTAATAGAAAACTAACAATGAAGAAATAAGCAAAAGAAATGGAGACAATGATACTGTGGGAAAACCCAAGAATTGGGAGAAAAGTTCCACCTTACACTATGTAGTATTGATGATGAATGAAAATGAGATTACAAGCATGAATAATATGATATTAAAATGCTCCCACAAAACTTCCCTCAATCCCTCTCTAAGTGTTTGATATATCGTGAATCGCCGTTCAAAATTGTCTAAGGCCGAGACCCACCAAAGTTGTGGCGAATCGGCAACAACCGCACTCCGGTGGATACGCTAGAGGAAGGATGGAAGGAAAGGGATTTGTCGTTGGATGAAATGCGAATTACTTTGTTAAAGGCTCAACAGGTGATGAAGGAGCAAGCTGATAAAAAGAGGCGTGATGAGTCCTTTGAGATCGGGCAGCAGGTTTATTTGAAGCTACAACCGTACCGTCAGCAGTCTCTGGCCAAAAGACCCAATGAGAAACTTGCGGCAAGGTTCTATGGTACGTTTCCGATTGTGAAGAAAGTAGGCAAGGTGGCGTACAAGCTGGAATTACCAGCACACTGTCATATTCATCCTGTATTTCATATTTCGCAATTGAAGAAGGCCATTGGAGCAACCCCGGTTAATCCAACAATTCCGGAACAATTGACACCCGAATTGGTGATGGTAGTGGAATCGGAAGAGATATTGGAAGTACGCAAAGAGCAGCATGGTATTGGGTCTAAAGTGGAAGTCCTAGTCAAATGGAAGGGATTGCCAACGTTTGAAGCAACTTGGGAAGAGGCAACCATCATCAAAGATCGTTTTCCCGCTTTCCACCTTGAGGACAAGGTGAATCTCAAGGCGGCGCCGCGGCGGGTAATTTGATGAACCCAAATAGGGCTCAGCCTATACGGGTCTACCACCGTAGGGCCAAGGTTGACAACCGTGGTCAAGGAGCATTTACCGAGAAGCGCAAGGAAGCAGAAGCAGGGGAAGGTTGAACAAGGGTCAAACACAACAAAGAACTAAGGACAAAAGTAATTAAGAGAAGAAGAAGGAAAGAAGAACAAGCAGCTTCAATTATGTTATGTATGGTTTTTCTTAAAAGTAGTAATTAAGTCACATGTAACTCTTAAGTAGTAATGAGAGTGATAGCCTCAAGCTATTGTTGTAACCAATTCTCCTATTTAATTAACCAAGCTTAAGCCTTCCTACTTATTAATTATTACAATTACATTAATATAATTCGGTTGCCGGAAACCAGTCCATAACAGACCGGCCCGGCGCGGTACGCCAGGCACGTTGAACGGCCATGTCGTGGGCTGGGGTGTGCGAAATGGTGGCTCGGCAGGGCACGGCACGGCGAGGCACAACCCACTGTGGCCCGACACGACACGATGCCCACATCTAGTTGGCGCTAAGAAGCATAATTGTACAACAGTTATGGGAGTCAGTCATAACCACTCCTTTTAGCCTATAAATAGAAGTGCAAGGGTCAAAAGAGGACATCGACAAATCAATCAACAACAAGCATTTCAATTCTTTTAATCTTTCTTCTTAGTTTTCGTAGTTTCCCTTGGCTTAATAACCAAGCGATAGTATAGTTTAGCAAGTAGCATGTATTGAAGTTTGTTCGTCATTTCTATATGTAGGACCATGGAGGTAACCTCTCCTTCAACTTATACAATTGTAAACCCGACTTTATTTTTTAATTAATGGAATGCATTTGTATCTTTCGTCATATGTTTATCTACTCGTTTCTCTGAGCAATCTTAACTTGTTTTACTTCTTTTTAAAAAGGTTTCATATTGTTTTTTTCCCGTTAGCAAGGTTATCAATATTTAAAACCGGGAACTCAACGGGTAGCCCCTAATACTCTAGAACAAGATAGAGTATTTAACTTGTTGGTAAAGAGCAATATTTACCTCAACAGAACCATATACGACCACTAAGCACTAGTCGATCATATAAAATTGTGTAATAGCCTTGTTTTAACAAAAGGAGTCATGTACATAAACGGGTAAATTGACACTTAAAAAGCAAAGTGGTCACCCAATTAGCCTCCTAGGTTAGACGTGGGATCATGGGAAGCATACTAACCCTTTTCCTTTCCAAGATTAGAAAAGTAAAAGTACGTCCAAACTCAAGGTATATCCACACTTTCGGACCAATTTTGAAAAAATGTTTACAAAATTGAAGAGAACAAATGGTTGTCGCCTTAGGGTCATATAAGTTTGTTTTGAAATCGTGTTGCATACAATTAGGGTCCTATTGACGTGTCCTTGGGCTATTAATTTTACCCAAACTTATTACTTACCATACCATCGAGACATATGACTTGTTTTGTTAGTGTCACTTTTTTTTTAAGCAACACGCTTTTAATTTTTGGATGTATTATACCATATTTAATCATATGTCTCTCTCCTTTGAACCCCACCACTACATTTAAAATCATTTCACTTAGGAACGTTGAGGTAGACACGTAGTTTAAGAAAGCTACAAGTGAGTCCATTTAAAACATTTATTTATATAAAGGATTCTCTTTTGTATTTTTATATTGTAGAAAAAAGGGGGGGGGGGGAAGGTGGGGATAGAGGAGAGAGAAAATGTAGGATTTAATTGGATTTTGGGGTTTGTAGTCCCAAAGAGTGTAGGAAAATATTATTTTATTAGTGGTCCCATTCCATATTTAGTAACGTGAAAATGGTAACTGTGTGGGACGGAGGGAGTATTCTCTAATCTCACGTCCTAATAATTAATTCTCCACCAAACCACCCAACTTATATGCTTCTCATAAAACTATGCGCGAAAGCTAATGTGTCACTTTAAAAAAAAAAACAAAGGGAGTATTATATTATTATACTATATAATATATATTGGTGTTGTGTTGTGTTTATTAAAAAATACCACTTAATCATTGTTGATACTATATTGTTGGGTGGTTAGTTGATTACAAGTGTTCTTTCATCCATAATGGAATGAATAGAATGAAGTCTTTTTTTGATGGAAAAGTATCCATAACAAATGTGAACTTTATTTTATCTCAACTTATAGTTTGTTCACAAGAGTAGTCATTATGGATGGACGAATGGAAAAATAATTACTCTTTTGTTTTCCTTTTCTTTTTTACTTTTCATTAATCTTTCCCCTTTTCATGCAATTTGGTTGATGATAAGCACAAAAGGTTGTAACTTTGGATAACTCTAGACTTGATAACTACAGATACTACAAAATGATGAATCCATGAGTATAACGTTATTTAAGAAAAGTTTTCAGAATAATTAATAACTTGTGAATTTGCTTATAGTACTCTCCAGCTTTTGGAATCAAGTAACCAATTACCGAAGGAAAAATTGCCCAGAATAATCTGACCTTTATTTCATCTGCCCAAAATAACCCCACATTTCGATTATATTTTAATAATCCGACCTATATACCTCATCTGCTTTAAATGGTCCCAACCGGTCATCTTATTTGTTAACACTTCTCAACCTCTAATTGGTAAAAAAAAAAAAAAAAAAAAAAAAAAAAACAGAAAAATTTAAAAATAAATAAGCCCCAAACCCGGCACCATCTCCTTTTCCTACCCCGATTCTTGCCACCAACGCCCTTCCCCTTCCCAAGTCAGGCCAAACCCTACCTCCCCTTCCCCGTTTCCGCCCGACTCGACCAAAGCAGCAGCCCGCAAAACCACCAAAAAAAGCAGCGCTAACCCGCTTCGCAAGTGCACCACCCACTAACCCGCAACAACATCACAAGCATTCTCACCGCAGCAAACACCAAAAGAACCACCATCACAATCAGTCACGCCACCCACCACTGTTGCACCAACAACCGCCGGCTGACACCACAAAGCACCCGCTTCAAACGCCCACAAATTAGCTTCAAAGTCGCAAACCTACAATAGCAGCATAGGGAAGAGGAACAGTTTCGGTGGGCTAAAATTAGGTAGATGTGGTGGTTTCAGTAGGTGGCCAGGTAGGGCAGGTGGTTTCGGTGGTGGGTCTTCTAGAGAGGGTGATCGTGGGGTTTTTTTAAAAAAAAAAATTCAATCATTTTTTATTCATTCATTTTTGGCTAATCACGTGGTGACACGTGCGCAACACAACCCCAAGTCTGGTAACCTGTTTAGCCGGTTTCAAGTCACTTGGAACCCTTAGGAGCAGATTGGGTATAAAGGTCGGATTATTAAAAAATAATTGAAATGTGGATTCTTTTAGGTAGATGAGGCAATGGTCGGATTACTCCGAGCAATTTTTCCATTACTGGATCCTCTGTTAAGTATTTCTTTACCTTTATTTTATATTTTTGAGGAATAACTTTATTTGAAAAGTATTGAGGATATATTTAGGAAATATTAAGATATATTTGGTGACCATATTTTTGGCTAGAATATCTTTTGGGGTATATTTGATTAGTTTCCTAATTCTATCCTATGTGGGTAATCTTGTATTATAAATTAGCCATTAGAGCCATCAATGAGAATCAAGTTTTGAGGTTTATACAATTTAACATGGTATCAGAGCCCAAGTTGTGGGTCTCTTCTAAACTGGGTATTTAATCGCTACTGGATAAGGGTTTACCTCGACAGGATGTCCAACCCCTAAGAGGATTATTGATCTTGCCCTATGTTCACCGGACTCGGCTGAAATCCCAAAGTGTCCGTGTCGACACGACGCGGACACGGACACGGAATTCGTGTCAGATTCGGCTATTTGCACTCGGACACTTCAGAGAAATGAATCGCCCGAAAAATTGCTTTGATTTCGCAAAATTTTCTTGACTCCATTGAAAACCAGAGAGTGAAAAGGGAAGAGGGGGAAGAGAAAGAGAGCCAGGAAGAGGAAATGGGTGCTATAATGCTATATCATTGCTATTTGAGTGGGGCTGCCAGAAAGGTGGGGTAGGGATAAAGGGCAGGTGTCATTTTCAACACCACACTTGTTTTGCTTTTGACCTTTTGACTACTTACTTTAACCAAAATTTTCTTTATTCTTTATGTGTTACTGTTTGTTAATATTTACCCGTAGTTACAATTTCCTTTAGAGGAATTGTACCAATAATTAATACTATATTCTAATTTCTTAAGTATTAGACAAAGAATATTAATGAAATACTTAGATACTATGTAATATATATTTTTTACAAAAAAAATGAAAGTGCCGTGTCCCCGCACCCGTGTCCAAATATAGGACAGAGTCCCCGTGTCCTAAAATTTTGGAAATTGGCGAATCGGACACTTGGACACGTGTCCGTGTCCGACACACGTACCCGAGTCCATGTAACATAGATCTTGCCTTATCCAGTTAGCTCTGAAGTCCTAAGGACACTCATAAGTGAGGGGGAGTGTTGAAACCCATTGTACCCTACTTATGAGTGTCCCACATTGGAGAAATAGGAGAGATGGTTTCACTTTATAAGGTAGAGGAGTACCTCCTACTATTGCTAATTGGTTTTAGTATGAAAGCTCCAAAGCCTTGTTTGTGGACCAAACTCTCCTCCTCCTTATTCGGGTCGCCTAGGCCCATTTCATATTGTTTCAAAATTTAACAATATGGGAGAAAATGGTGAAGTAGAGGGTGCCCAATCCCTTGATATTCTTGCATCTGCTGGCGAAGAAGAACAGCAGCAGGCCCCAGGGTCGATCCCACCACACCACAGATCACCCTACGGGCGCTAGTCGAGGCACCCATCAGCCTCACGAAGTTTCTGCTCAGCACGCTGGGAAACTAGCTGGTGCTGGTGCCACAGCAGCTGCCGAAGCAAAGCAGCAGCAAACAGCAACTTCCGAAGGCAGCAGCTCGGTTCAGCAGCAACCCACGGTCCACTCTCCCATGGGTCGTGGCTATCGTGACAGGTTTCCATCCGTTAAGCTACGGGATTATGTGACTCATTCAATATTTGCTAAAAATCCGTCTCCCTCCACTCCGTCTTCCAATTCTCCTTCATGTACGCCTTATCCTTTAGCACACTATATAAATTGTGACATGTTTTCTGTGAATTATCGCACAACAGTTGTTCAGGGAAAGGACCCAAAGTCCTTTAAAGAGGCTATGAAACATGAAGGTTGGAGACGATCTATGCAAGAAGAAATAAGGGCATTGGAAGATAATGGAACTTGGACATTGGAGCATCTTCCTCCCGGCAAGAAAGCTCTAGGTTGTCAATGGGTGTATAAAACGAAATTTTTGTCTAATGGTGATATTGAACGTCTCAAGTCTCGTTTGGTTGTTTTTGGTAATCATCAAAGAGAAGGTATTGATTATGGTGAGACCTTTGCTCCGGTTGCAAAAATGACTACTGTTCGCGCTTTTCTTGCTATAGCAGTTTCAAAAAACTGGGAGATTCAACAAATGGATGTTCATAATGCTTTCTTACATGGTGATCTTGAAGAAGAGGTGTACATGAAATTACCTCCAGGTTTTGAGAGCTCGGATTCGAGTTTGGTGTCTCGTTTGAGAAAGTCTTTGTATGGGTTGAAACAAGCTCCGAGATGTTGGTTTGCAAAACTCACTACAGCTTTGAAAGGGTACGGTTTTATTCAATCTTACTCTGATTATTCTCTTTTCACATACTAAAGGCAATGTTCAGATTAATGTCTTAGTTTATGTTGATGATCTTATTATTTCTGGGAATGATTCCGCTGCATTAACTGTGTTCAAAGCTTATCTTGGTGATTATTTCAAGATGAAGGATCTTGGTCCTTTGAAATATTTTTTGGGCATTGAAGTTGCTCGTAGTAAATCAGGTTTGTTTTTGTGTCAACGAAAGTACACCTTGGATATTGTTTCTGAAGCAGGGCTATTGGGTGCGAAACCAAGTGGTTTTCCAATTGAGCAAAACCACAAGCTTAGTCTTGCTAGTGGTGAGTTACTTGAGGATCCTGAGTCTTATCGTAGACTAGTAGGGCGGTTGATTTATCTCTCGGTGACTAGACCAAATTTGGCATATTCGGTTCATATTCTTTTTTAGTTTATGCACAAACCTCGGATTGAGCATTGGGAAGCAGCTCTCAGGGTGGTTCGTTATTTAAAGGGTACTCCAGGACAAGGTATTTTGTTGAGTGCAGATAGTGACCTGACTTTACAGGGTTGGTGTGATTCAGATTGAGTGACGTGTCCTCTAACTCGTTGTTCGTTCAGTGGTTGGGTTGGCTTGTTTTTCTTGGTAAATCTCCTATTTCGTGGAAAACCAAGAAGCAACCCACGATATCTTTCTCTTCTGAGGCTGGTATCGGTGCATGGCTTCAACCACCCATGAGTTGAAATGGTTGAAAGCCTTACTTTTGAGTATGGGGATTCAACACCCTAAGGCGATTAAGTTGTTTTGTGATAGTCAATCTGCTCCACATATTGCTAGAAATCCAGTTTTTCATGAACGTACGAAGCACATTGAGATTGATTGTCACATTGTTCGTGATGCTATTATAGAGGGCTTAATTGCTCCATCCTATGTTTCCACTAAGGAGCAATTGGCAGATATTTTTACTAAGGCGCTTGGGAAGACACAATTTGATACTCTTCTTTCCAAGTTGGGCATTTTTTATCCCCATGCTCCAACTTGAGGGGGGGTATTGAGGATATATTTAGGAAATATTAAGATATATTTGGTGACTATATTTTTGGCTAGAATATCTTTTGGGGTATATTTGATTAGTTTCCTAATTCTATCCTATGTGGGTAATCATGTATTATAAATTAGCCATTAGAGCCATCAATGAGAATCAAGTTTTGAGGTTTATACAATTTAACAAAAAGGCATCTGATTTCCCAAGAAAGAGATGTACTGTACATTTATTTAAAAAAAAAGGCTTTGGGTTTCCCAAGAAATTGGTACAGAAAAGAAATTGGTACAGAAAAGCTGTGGTACTCATTTTTTTAATAACAAATCTTTCTTACTTATTTAAAAGATAGCACTTTGTGTGTATCAAAATTTATATTGAATAAATATTGACTCAAAAGCCACAAATATTTTTTATCTGTTCCAAATAAAAAATAAATAAAAACGTTTTTCTTATTAAGGTTTTTTTTTCTTAAATAGTTTATTGTCGTATCCATACCCGAGTCCAAAGTTAAGACGGTGTCCCCATGTCCTAAATTTTAAAAAATGACGTATTGGACATTCGGATCCGTACCAATATCGGATACCCATACCCGTGTCAATGTAACATAGACTATATCACATTTATTCTCCATTTGTCTTTTGTTTCCTAACAGTTAATAAATTGGAGTTTTAAACTTATACTTGCTTGTTAGTTAATTTGGTAGACAACTAGACACTACTCCCTCTGTCACTAAATATAGTTCTCATTTGCCATATTTGGTGATCCTAAATATTGTTCCCATTTGCTTTTTTAACATTTATGGTTCCTTGGAAATAACCAATGAATCCTCTTTTTTATTTTTATTTTTATTTTTGTGCCTTTATTATGTGAATTACCAAAAGTACAATCTAATTTTTCTTATTCTTTGTGCATCATTACTCTTTTTTTGTACTTTATTCTTTTTTGTCATTGAAAATAGTAAAAAAAAAATACCTTTTCTCTCTCTTCTTTTTTACAAATGATTGGGGAGTATTTGGGCTTCCCATGTCTTTTTAGTACTTCCTCTTCCCTTTCGAAATTAGTCAAACGGGAACTATGTTTAGGGACGGAGGGAGTATTAATAATTGTAGATACAAAAATTACATGGAAAATTTTTGCTACACGTAAATTAAACGTTCCAGCAAACCTATACAAGAAAGGGCTCCTCCCTGACCATGATAACTACTGACATACACCTATTGATTGCATCCACATAATCGCCCTAAGGTACATTATCATTAGACAATAATATGGAACATACCTGTGTATTTGATGGCAAAAATGGAAGTTCAGACCTGCCGGGATACAGAGAGAGATTTGCCAAGTAGCTCTCTGCAGACACAAGCAAGAACATTTTTCGTCAAGGCAAGCATAAAATAATGGTTTTTTCCTTGATAAATATTCAAAACTAAAAGAAGCAACAACATTAATAATCAAATTAAACATCATACGAGCTCCAGATTTCATGATGCCTCTGTAAAGTGTGCCCTGAATCAATTTTTTTGCGTCTACATTCTCTGCTTCACCACTAATCAATGATTCAGCTGCCACACCAATTTGACAGATACAACTCTCCTCATAGATAACGACCAAGGATCTGCAGCATGTGGCAGCTGAAAGAGATTGCCAAAACCTGCAAAAAGGAAGAGAATCATGACTGGACACCAATCCCAAGGCCACCTACATCATCAGAACTTTCATCCGCCATAATAGATTAATAGAGTAATGTAGTTTATACACATCATCTTAGTCTTACTCAATGTGTTAGCAGAGAGAAATGTGTGAAAATTCTTTATAATAACATCTCTCTGGGATAGTAGATAACTAGATACTGTGAGAAGGTTTTTTTTTTTTGTTTTTTTTTTTTTTTGGTGAGTACATTGGAAGGTTTGGAACCATTTATTTGATTACACAAGAAAACCAAAAGCAATCACAAAGAGAAGCAAACACGGAAATGAGCACAAATCATGCATTAGATAAAGCACCATTCCAATTCAGAAATAGCAGAATCAGGGAGGCTGGAAGATATCCAGCGACACTCCACACCTTCAGGATCCACCTGAAATGGAAGGAGATCGATGAACACATCGCCATACAAAATCCAGGTAGTAGATATGAATCTTTTGGTCCATGAACAGGGTATGCTAGGAATGATTAAGAATTTATACATGAAATGGAATCCCTAACCTTAGAGATAGCCTTGGGCCTAATTGATAGCCAAACAAGACCAGTTAAGATATTCGTAACAGCCAATCCAAGAGCCAACAGATCTGCCCTTGACTGTGAGCTGCAAAACACAATTAAGTATACAACAAGCTCAAGAAAATAAATCAAACCATTTAAGTTACAATGCAAAATTCATGGTTCTTGCTTTACATGAGACATCATAGATAACAAGCTTGCTGCACTCAGAATGATGCCCCCTTCCTGACTCTACATACCTCTCTCATTAAAGGAAGTGATGTATTATGAAATGGTCAAGGAAGAAGGAAGGCTGTTTCGTGACAAAATTTTATGAGTTGTACAAAAGGAAAAAAGAAATTCAGATATAAAGTCATGGCAGCGGGTAAAAATAAGGCTTCTTCTAAACTTTGATCAATTTGGATTCAAATGTCTAATCTGATACGCATTCAAAACAAAATACACGCAAACTACGCATCAATTTTACCGTATCAGGAAGAATAAATTGACAGTTAGCAAACACGGTTGATGGAAGTTTCTTATTCTTAAGAGCACTGGGTTGTCAATTCCTTATGCCAATGTGCCATCCATCATATGGGAATCCTTCCAAATAACTACTTACTTAATCAATGACCTAATTCACATATATATTTACAAAATTTTCCCAACTCTACCAGTATACTGTCACAGCATATATTCTTTCTAACTCACGACTCTTCATATATCAAACCACCAAAAATTCAAAACTCTCGCTTTCAGTTCCAATTAGGACGCCTGGAAACGATTTTCGACCGCATTTCTAACCCTAGCTACCACCATTTCATAACCTTTACTGCTTTCCATTAAAATACTTTCAATTATCAACTTTAATACCAACATCTAGTAATCCTATCAATTCATTCATGCAACTATCAGATGAAGTAATCAAACAACAACGAAAATTCGACATCATCTACAGCAAATTCCAGGCCACATTTACCCTAATTCATCTCAGCTGGAATTTGTAGTAGCAAAAACAACAAAATTCAACATCCAGTTAAAAATTGATCATCTCAATTCGAAAATTAAAGCCACAATCAACCAAAAAAACGTCGAAACTATCAGGCAAAACAATTGAATTAAACAAGAAATTAAAAAAATCCGCCAATTCTGAAAACTGACCTACTAGCGTCGGCAACAGGAGCAATGCCGGAAACAGTACGATTAAAGAGAACAGCGAGGAGAGAGAAACCACCGACATAAATAGGCAAGCTACGAGCGACATTGTCGTTGTTTGAGACCCAATCAGCGACCAAATTTCTGCTAGGTTTCGGACCTTTGAAGCCTTCGGACTATACAATAAGCTCCATTGATGTTAGCTTGAAGAAAAGCTTGAGGTCCAAAAATGGCGGAAGAGAGAGAAAGAGAGGAGAGAGAAAGGGAGTAGTACCTGAAAAGAGCAGGAAATGGAGAAGCGCGGGAAAGTCGGGGAAGATGAACGGTGGTATCGGAAAGGTCGTTTAGGTGTGCAATAAATAGAATGGATATGGAGGTGGAGAGTTCCCGCTTCCATTGTTATAATTTGTTGAAGTTGCTACGCTTGCTACGGAGTAAATTGCTAGTGTTCTGTTTTTTCAGGTTCTGCCAACGAAAATACTACTACGAACTTACGAAGTTCCAAGAGGGTGTTGGTTTCAAAAAAAAAAAATACTATCTGTTTAGGGGAATAGAAAGGGTGGGACAAGAATAAAAAATAGGAATAGAAAGAAATCTCGTATTTGTTTGGAGGGATAGGGATTAGAAGAGGGTTAGGGATTAAAACACCCACTTATCCCTCCATTTCTATAACTAAGGGGGGTGGTATTCTAGTATAAAGGGAAGGGATAAGAAATGAGTTTTAAAAGACCAAATTACCCTTAATGAAATTGAAAGGGTAAGGAGAAAGGGTAGAAGTTACTAAGGGTATTTTTATAAATTCAATACTTATCCCTAATTTGTTCCCTATACTTACCAAACATGGGATAAAAATTATTTATACTTGTCCCACCTATTAATCCCCTATCTTTATCCTCCCTTCTTATCTCTCTTATTCTCATCCCTGCAACCAAACGCCCCGTAACTACTAATATTCCTTTCAATTTACAAGTAATGTGCAGAGTACAAGTCTAAGGTTAGTATTTAGGCCAAGATAATGTGTATGGAATTAATGTTTTCTTTTTAAATATGACAAAGGATTTGACTCCAACAGCCCTACCCGATTCAAACTTCATTCGGTGTAATGTAAGCAAACTATAAAGTAAAAAAAAAAAAAAAAAACATATGGATTTTACAGTTGTACCTCTTACATGCACCTTTTGTTTTTTTATAATCTCACATACACTTTTTTTTGTTTGTTTTTTTTTTTTTTTTCATACACTTAATACATGATATTACAATAATAATTACAAGTAAAATAAAATAACAATAATTATCTTAACATCGGAGTTTACACAAGTGCGCATCCCATGCATAGCTCCCTTTACTTGTTTTAAAAGGTACTAGTAGAATAAGGAAACACCTCAGCTTCAACTTCTTGGTTGACAACAGTCACAAAACTAGTATTATTTCCACCCTTAACACCCTCTTTGCTATCACCTTGTTCCTTTTCCTCCTTTTTCACTTACCGTTGTAGTAGAGTTTTCTGCTGACGCTCCATCTTCTAAACTAATGGGCTTTTTCGCTTCCTCGTCGACTTCTTTGGGCTCTTGGCTTGGGCCGCCTTGCTGATTCCCTTGTAAGGCCATATTTCAAACAATCAACCAACTTAAAAGCCTTAAGTAGTAGACAAGTTGTACTAAGCTAGCCTAGTATGATCCAATTGATTTACTTTCCAGTAGGGGTGAAACAAACTCGGTTTAAAACCGAACCAAACCAAAAACCGAACCGAATAAGAAATTTGGTTCGGTTTTTTTCGGAAGTGGTTCGGTTTCGGTTTTTAAAAAAATAAATTTCGGTGTGTGGTTCGGTTTCGGTTTGCGAAAATGAAAAACCGAACAAAACCGAACCACACCGAAATATAGGCCCAATCCAATTAAACCCTAGCCCAACTCTAAATTACCCTAGGTATTTAATGCAAAAAAAAAACCCTAACACTCTCAGCCTCTCCTTCTCTCCCCCACCCTTTCTCTCTCCTTTCCTCTTATCCTCTTGAGGATTCCGTCCATTCTCTCTCCTCTCCTCTTCTTCGCTTCTCGCCTTCACTATCTACGAACACCATCAACCTTTTTCTTGTCTTTCTCCTCGCCACCATTAACGAACACATCACGAATTTGCTTTCAAATTCGCCCGCTTCACTATCTACGAAAACCATCAACTGTTTTGATTTAACACCATCAACTAAAGGTTTTTCATGTCAAATTCGACCATGAAAACTCTAGATCTAGAGTTTTCATGGTCGAATTTGACCTTTAAAAGCCAAATTCGATGTTTTTTCGATGGAATGTGAGGTATGCCCTTTTTTTCTTTCTTTTAATTTGGTTTGAGTTTTTTTTTCTACTAATTTATGCTAAACTTCTAATTTATGTCCAAATTTTTTTCTGATATTTCGGCACTTTTTATTCAATTTTTTCTTATCATGTTAGAAAACTTGTTTAATTATGTTTGTATGAGTTGGTTTTGTTTGGTTCGGTTTTGATTGGATTGGTTTGATTTGGTTTTTTTTTTTTGCAAAATTTGATGTTTATGGTACTTGATATGAAAATTCGGTTAGGTTCGGTTTTTTTTTTTATGAAACCGAAATAATAATGGTTTGATTTGGTTCGGTTTTGAAAGTAAAGTGATGCGGTGTGGTTTCTAAAATCCAAAAACCGAATTAGAGTAGTTCAATTTCGATTTGGGCAAAAAACCAAACCAAAAACCGAACTTTCACCCCTACTTTCCAGATGATGGCTTGGGGACTTCTCTTATGTTTCTAACTCGATTATATATATATACTACTTTATACTTCAGTATATGTCGGCTATAGTTTATGTAAGAAGGCTTAAAAATGCTCTAGAATTCTTTAGCTTAGTTGTAATTAACACTTGTTAGAAGCACAAATTTCTTATCATATAAAAGTCTCTAGAATGTAAGTTTTTGACCTTTAAAAAGTGAAAGTACGTAGAAGTATCATGTAATAGGATTTCATCATTTAAAGATGAGTACAACTTTTTAAATTAGAAAACATTTTTTGGGATTGCGGATTAGGTTTAGATTCATCTTTGTTGGATCGGTAACAAGGACTCTTTTTTTTGGAGGCAAAGGAAACGAAACATACATTAATTTGAACAATTTTTTTTTTACACAATTAGTGAACAAATTAACCATTAGTACATATGGTGAATCGGCGATTCATCACTAAAAGTCTAAGAGCATGTTTAGATTTACTAAACTGAGTTGAGCTGAACTGAATAGTTTTATAAGAGAAAAAAATTAAGAACTGAATTGAACTAAACTTATTGAAGCTGAACTGAAAAATTATTATTATTTACTTTTTTTTTGAAAGAATTTTTATAATTATTATAATTTATTAATTAATAATATTATTAAATATTAATTCTTAATAGTTTGAATTATTAAATATTATTATTGATAATTATTAATAAATATTAATTACTATTAATATTAATAATCATTATGATTATTTTAAATTAATAATTATTATAATTATTCAAAATAATAAATTATTATCAGCAATACAATATTAATTATTATTATTAAATATTAACTATTATTATTAATTATTATTTAAAAATAGAGCAGAGAAAATTTCTTTTGAGCAGAGTGGCTATGATTTGAGCAGAGCAAAGCAGAGCAGCTCTAAAGAACGGAGCCTAAATCTATCTCTATGTTATAATTATACGTATTATACTAGTATTTCCGTAGAGGGAGATTTGAGGGTGTTACATTTGTGTGCACCCAATTTACAATAATATTCGCGGAAAAAAAAAGTACATAAATTTACTACTCCCTCCGTGTTTTTTTTTACTTCCTTCATTTCTCTAATGCGCAGAGTTTTACTCATTTTAAGAAATGAAATGAAAGCTATATGGAACAATTTAAGGATACCAATTTGGTTAATCTTAATTGAGGTAACTTTGATATGCTTTTTTTTTTTTTAAATGTATATAGCTAGACAATGGGATGATTTTAAAGGTAACAATATAGTTACTTTTACAGACTAAGATTTGAATTTACTCATTTAAAGAGGGTAATATTATCAATAAAGCATAAATTACTTTGATATATATATATATATATATATATTGGCGTAACTTTTATTTATATTAGGGAAACTTTTATTTATTTCATGGTAAATTTTGATCATTTTACCACTACTTCGTACTTTAAAAAAAATTGTAAAATTAATTTTGGTATAATGGTGTGACTAAGGGCATGTTCGACAAAATATAGTTGTGAACTGTAGTAGTAGATGTTAGTTGTGTAGGTGGTTGTTAACAAGCTCTTAGTTGTGAATATAGATGATTTAAGTATGAGTATTCGATAAAGTAGTGGTTGACTAGTTATTTACATATAAAAATCAATATTTTAAATCTAATTTTATTATTATTATTATTATTATTATTATTATTATTATTATTATTATAAAAGCTATCTCCACCACTGAAATAAATCTACCCCAACCACTACATTATCAAACACTCATATTTTTGTGAAGTAGTGGTTTGACATGATCAAACTACTAAAAGCTACTCAAAAGCTAATGTCGAACACGCCCTAAGAGAAAAATTATTCAAACCTGTCCCTAAATTTTGACTACATTAATTTGGACCACAAACACCGCTAATTGAACAGATCCAAGTAATTACGGAGAAACAACTTGCATAAAGGATCTTCCAATGGTATATTATCGTAATACTCCCTACAACCTGTTTGGTAGCCAATAAAAAATTGGTTTGGTGTAACGAAAATTAATTTAACGTATAAATTAGAAAGGAAATAATTAACATTATAATCTCCATGGTAATGCAATTTTATCATCATGCATGTGTTTTCTTTATACCATTCGAGAGTAGGTATTAGATGGGAACGAAAACTTTTAATGGTAGTCCATTGTTTGGGATGAGCTACCATATGAATGAACTTTGATTTTTCTTATAAATTTACATACAGTACAAATTTTAAGGATTTAATTCCTATTATCATACATCATTTATATCTACCTACCAATGATAGATCGTGTTTATCAAATTTAAAAAGCACAATAAGTAACAATTACTTATTGTAGTTTTTTAATAGCCTTTTTCAATCCAACATAAATTTTACACTAAATAATTTATTTGAGGATTCAATCTCGAGGCTACGAACACCAAATGTATTATGTAACCCCCAACTAAATGAGCTACCGTATGTAGAAGACATGCTGCAATTACCTGCAAACTCTGCAAGTAGTTTTTATCAATTCTTGGAATTTTCTAACTTAATTATAATGCATCAATGCATCATTTCATGCATGGCTATATCAACCGTTTGCCGTAAAAAAGATGCTCACTAATGAATAAAAGATAGGAAAAAAGATAAGATGTGTTTCTTATCTACTCCGTACATCTTAATGATATTACATTATTACCCCTAAGCTAGGAACTTGGCCCTTTTATCATTTTTGGTCATTTTCAAAACTGATCCTTCTGCAAATAATTGTTCTCATTTTGCTATGATTGGTGTCGTGAATCACATGATTATTTTGGTATGATTATTGTTTGTCTCAATTATTAGATATATCGACACATATATACTTGTATTTCGCATTTTGCTCTTCCCATTACGAAATTATTACAGTGTTAGCTTTATAAGATTATATTATGGATGATGATG